AAGAGGAGAAAATAAATGGGGACATCTTTGGCAGGGGAAGAAGGGTTAATGGATGATTTTAGTTTTATTTATTTATTTTTTTAGAGGCAGGAAACAACAGCATGTATGCTCTTGAAAATGATCTGGTAGAGGGTGAAAAGTGCTAATGTAGCAGAGAGAGAGGAGAAACGTTGAAGTGATTCCATGAGTGCATGAGTGCTCTGGTTTGAATGTTTGTGTCCCTCTAAAATTCATGTTGAAATTTAATACCCAGTGCAAGAGTATTAAGCGATGGGGGCTTTAGACGGTGACTGGTTGAATGGGATTAGTACCCTTAAAAAATAAAATGGCTTGAGGGAGACTTTTTGGCCCTTTTTACCCTTCTATCATGTGAGCACACAGCAGGAAGCTACTAGTGAGGAACAGGCCCTCCAAGACACTGAATCTGCTGGTACCTAGATCTTGGACTTCCCAGCCTCCAGATCTGTAAGAAATAAATTCTTGTTCTTTAGTAATTACCCAGTCTAAGGCAGCTTGTTATAGCAGCCCTAGTGAACTAAGGCAATGAGAAAGTATGAAATTGGGTATGCAAATGGAGGCATTAGCTTGAAATGGCTCTGTTCATCTGTGCTGATAGGCAAAGAGGCAAATATGTAGGTGGCGATGTGATGAAGAGAGTCTGTGAAGTCCCTTCTCAGTGAAATATGAAGGAAGGTCATCCACTTTTGAGTGTGGGGTAGAAGGTGTTCAAAGTTTGAGAAGAGAAGCATAGGTATAAGATAGCTAAGAGGGCCGAGTTTGGTGGCTCATGCCTGTAATCCCAGAACTTTGGGAGGCCAAGGCGGGCAGGATCATTTGAGGTCAGGAGCTCGAGACCAGCCTGGCCAACATGGCAAAACACCGTCTCTACTAAAACGACAAAAAAAAAAATTAGCTGGGCGTGATGGCAGGTGCCTATAGTCCCAACTACTCGTGAGGCTGAGGCAGGAGAATCCCTTGAGCCTAGGAGGCGGAGGTTGCAGCGAGCCGAGATTGCACCATTGCACTCCAGCCTGGGAGATAGAGCGAGACTCTGTCTCAAAATAAATAAATAAATAAATAAAATAGCTAAGAGATTTGGGGAAGGAATGGACTATGGGAATGTACTAAGGCCCACCAGAATTTTGTCACAAACATAAAGTGATTCCAATTAGGGTGGCTGTGAGAATGTAGGGTAACCTGGTGGCAGAATGCCATAAATCCAGCTTGAGTCTCTCACTGCTTTCAGTTGTCCCCTTCCCTCACTCATATCACCTCTCATTGTCCCATTGTTCTTGAACAAACTGCAGAAAACAAAATATCGCAACAAATTTGAGGCAGCAGTTCCAAACAAACGCTCTGCAGTGACATGGAGTATTTTTGAGCTGTGAATACAGCGGCATCTTTTGGACACTGTATGAATTATTAGCTCAAGGGAGTTCACAGTTTTATCATTGCATGGAGCTATATTCCTTTCCATTACATACTTTCTTTGTCAAGCTGACTTTTGAGACGTTATTGAAATAAAAGCAAGTATTACACAAGAATCAGTGTGGTGTTCCAACCAATTCTTAAGTTTTAGGAGTTGTGTCATGTTCAACAGGCACACACATCTCACTCAGAAATTGTGGTTAAGAATGAAATAGGCCGGGCATGGTGATTCACACCTGTAATCCCAGCTGTTTGGGAGGCCGAGGTGGGTAGATCACAAGGTCAAGAGATCGAGACCATCCTGGCCAACATGGTGAAACCCCATATTTACTAAAAATACAAAAATTAGCTGGATATAGTGGCACATGCCTGTAGCCCCAGCTACTTGGGAAGCTGAGGCAGGGGAATTGCTTGAACCACGGAGGTGGAGGTTACAGTGAGCTGAGATTGCGCCACTGCACTCCAGCCTGGACAACAGAGCAAGACTCTGTTTCAAAAAAAGAAAAAAAACAAAAGAAAAAGATGAATAATAATTAAGTCGTTTAGACATAAGCTAATTTTAGTGCAGTTGTTAGCAATTTATTTTGGCCTAGAAGTGCAGTGGAAAAATTAGAGATGCTAAGAACACCATTTGCTGAGAAAACGTGGGAACCTCTGACTTAAAAATGAATTCCAGTTGCTTTCTCTATTTATTCCAAATACTGGGTCAAGGCCCCAAAGGGTGCAGTTGTATGTAGTTGAACTAAGAATAATCATGCCAAAGTCTAAATCTTGCAGGGAAATTACTTATGACACTCACACCATCTCACCAAGTTCCCTTATTACATCAAAACTTGAGCCTAAATATCTCTCCCTAGTTTTAATGGCATATGGCTACACTATAACCATCTATTATAATATGGGAATTTAAAGCCAAGAGTAAACATATGCCTTTTAGCTCCCCTAGAGTTGTATCTCTAAAAGAAGTCAGAACATGCGGGTCGACAGAAGACTTGGCTTGGACATTTATCTTTTTGTCAACATCTACTCCAAATGGGTAATTCTTGATAGATGGCTTAAGCCAAATAATTGTGGCCTCAGGACTGCTTTATTGTCGCCAACCGAGATGCCAGTAACATATGCATGTGTGTTGGGGAAATGAGATGCCACCAGGCAGTGTTTGATTATATGTGTATGTGTCTATGTGTGCCTGAGCCTTTCAAGAGACTGTTTCTCTTCTCTGACCTGACATTGTGAGTTTTGCAAGTCAAGACAGTGCTTTGCAGCAAAAGAAACTCTCAGCAGAGTAAACAAACAACCTACAGAAAGAGAAAATATTTGCAAATCATGCATCCAACAAAGGATTAATATCCAGAATTTATAAGGAATCTAAATGAACCTAGAAGAAAAAAACAACTCTATTAAAAAGTGGGCAAAGGACATGAACAGACACTTCTCAAAAGGAGACATATAAGCAACAAACAAACACAAAAAATGCTCAACATCAGTAATCGTCAGAGAAATGCACAAGGAGATACTATCTCACACCAGTCAGAATGGCTATAACAAGAAATCAAAAAATAACAGATGTTGGCGAGGTTGTAGAAAAAAAGGAACACTTATACACTGTTAGTGGGGATGCCAATTAGTTCAGCCACTATGAGAAGCAGTTTGAAGATCTCTCAAAGAACCAAAACTAGAACTACCATTTGACCCCAGCAATCCCATTCCTGGGTGTATACCCGAAGAGAAATCAATCATTCTTCCAAAAAGACATGCACTTGTATGTTTATCATAGCACTATTCACAATGGCAGAAATGAAATCAATATAGCTGTCCATTAACAGTAGATTGGATGAAGAAAAATGTGGTGATATACACCATGGAATACTGTGCAGCCATAAAAAAAAGAACAAAATCGTGTCCTTTGTAGTAATGAGATGCAGATGGAAGCAGTTATCCTAATTAACCAATGGATAAACAGGCAACCAAATATCACATGTTGTCATTGATACGTGGGAGCTAAATATTGGGTTCACTTGAATGTGAGGATGGGAACAATAGACACCGGGGACTCCAAAAGAAAGAAGGGAGGGAGGGAGGGAGGAAGTGGGGAAGGGCTGAAAACCTTCCTATTGAGTACTATGTTCACTATCTGGGTGATGGGATCAATAGAAGCCCAAACTTTAGCACCACGCAATATACTCTTGTAAAAAACCTTCACGTATACACCCTGAATCTAAAATAAAAACAGAAATTTAAAAACATTGTGCTTTGTTAATTCAGGTTTGGGATAAAATGCACCAACAATCCCAGTTACTTGGCTTGGGCCCAGGAGTTCAAGACCAGACTGGGCAACATAACGAGACTTAGTCTCAGAAAGATAGTTTAAAAAATGATAAATGCTTGAGGTGACAGATACCCTAATTACCCTGATTTCATCATTATACATTATATACTGGTATCAAAATATCATACAGGCCCCATAAATATGTATAGCCATTATGTATTAATAATAATTAAAATTTAAAACATTTTTAAAGATTGTGCTTTATTAATTTGTGTTAGGTTCAGTACCCAGAACAAGGCATGGTATCTGGTAGACTTTGAATTTGTTGCTTAGAATATGGAAAATAATAAATTGATGTTATCCACATAAGCAGAAATACTATAAAAGCTGAAGAAGCTTAAGCTTCAGGGTCCCAAAGATTTGTAAACGTAAGATAGGTTTGCTGCAATTCGTTTAAAATATTATTTATTTCTACTTTCTTACCCTCCATCACATCTGACTTCAAGTCAGTGAGGTTGGATAGGTTACAAATATTTTGGGGATTAGATTTAGGGGAAGTTGAGTTAGGATACATTTAGACTGGGCATAGCGGTCTATATATTTAAGTGATTGACATTCACTTTGATATATATTTCTATCAAAGTGTAGGAATAGCTTCCAGGAATCCTTCTGCCCACTTTAAAGGACACATCCTAGGTGGTGACAAAAAGGTGCAAAGTCAGGGGCTACATCCTAACATGAAAGCCTCCTACAGTGCCCAGGACCAAAGGACCGGGCAAAGAGAGGAGAAACAGAGCTTGAAATGTACAGTGTGAGAGGCTGGCAGGCAGAAAAGGCTTCTTTTCATCAGGCATGTACAATTATAAGCGGGTAAATCTTTCTCTACAACACCTAGTCAAAAAGGTGTTCCCTTCTGACAAGAATATACTCAAAAGAGCGGAGCATGCCCTATTCATTTACTATTCTTCCTTTTTTGATGGGAATTGCATGACATAGGGTTTGCCAGAGTTTTGTGTTTGTGCAGTATAAACCCATACTGATACCACAAACAGCAAGGACATCTGCGGGTGAAGTCACACATTTTACTCATCTCAACCTATTGGTTTGCACCTTATCATATCTGATGTATCCATTTCTGATGAAGTCTGGTGGTTCCTGATGAAATGGTACGCAAAATTGCCAGGGTCAGCAATTTTGTGCCCGAACTTTCTCAATCGTTAAAGATAAATAACAAATTTCAATCAGTCACTAGAAGATTGGATTACTTTCTATCTTTATATGAAAACACTTCACGAGGAAACCATTGGACGTTCTATGATTTTATTTTTCACAGAATATCACAACAGCCACCAGCTGTCCACTTCAGAGGAGTTTAGCTATGGTAATGTCAGCTGTGATAAACTGAACTAAGGGACCCCGAAAGCGACCCCAGCAACTTTTTGGAGGAACTCCATATATTCCAAGAACTTGAAATCTTTGCCACTAGGGGAACTCTGAAGTTTCTTTTCCTTAAGGTTTCAGGGGGAATAGTCCAGCAGATGGTTTTGGGTATGACCTCCAGTGAGTCTGCTGGTACACACGCAAAAAAAAAGGGTCGGTTTTGTTTTCTTTCAGAATCGAAGTTGATATCATCACGATGAGGTTTTGATGTTGATTTATGTTTGCTTTGGAAACAAACCAATCGTTCTGACTCATAATCATGCACTGTCTTCTTTCTGGCCCATTTCTCTTTACTGTGTGTACAACTGTAATCGTGGTCCCAGTGACTGTTTTTCTTCTTAAATAAATCAAATCTGGCCTTTTTTCTTTCTTTTCTTTCTGGGTGCATGTGAGACTTGTCTTGGTTTTTTGCAAGATGCAATTTAATATTTGACTCTGTTAAAGAAGCTAAAGAATAACTTGTTCTGCTCCTGGTAGTCCATGAAAGTTTCTCTTCACTGAGTGATACACCAGATGACCTAGACTGAATTTCCATAGTATTTAATGAACGATGACACAACCAGTCAGGAGATTTCATTTTGGAAGATGATCTATATTTCCTGGTTTCGTGGGACTTATAAGAAGGCGTTGTAATAAATAAGGTTTGCTTTCTGTACCCTCTAGTACAATGCGAACCTGAATCGTCACTGTAAAATGATTTCAAATCACTTGTGATTTTGTAGGGATTTTCCAAAGGCATGCCTGTCTGTAATTCAAATAGAATGTTTTGTGATTCCCGATTTAAATAAGAGTTGGCTTCCAGAAACATGCATTCCTCACTCTCACTTACTTCAAGATCTGGACATTTGTCCAACTCAGCTGGACTCTCAATATTTGTCTGAATATCAATAAAATCTTTCGAAATCTGAGTTTCATGTGAATCAGCTGAACCAATAGCATTGCTCTGAGTCCTTAAATCGATCGATTTATATGTATTTGTTTCTTGAAACCATACATGATATTGTTTGTCTTTTTCTGGAGTCACGTGGAATTCTGAATGTGAAAGAACTTGAGAATCTTTCTTCCTCGGGCTGTGCAGATCACGGTCAGATTCACACACGAGGGTTGGCTCTGGGAATTTCCTGATAAGCGATGAGTTTTCATGGGGACTTTGCCTTTTGAAAGAAATATGTTGCTCCAACAGTTCTGTATCAATGGGAAGACTCCCACTTTCTCCACCAGCATCTACTTTTTGACACATTCCAACTGTGTTTAACTTATTATGTTTGGGGAGTACATTTGGCTTAGGGAATGTACTTCCAACAGGAGGCCCCAGGAGAAAACGAAGGTATTTGTATTGTAAATCAAGATCTATTTGATGGAGAGATTTTTCCTCAAAAAGTAACAAAATTCTGTTTTGTCTTTTTGGTCTTGTGATACCAGAATGGACACAGTTAGAGAGAGGTTTCTTTCTCTCCTGAGCACTGGTCATTGCATGAGATTCTCTTACAATTCCGGGAAAGGCTTTCATGTGTATCTCCAATGTTTTCACAGAAAAGTGCATGAGGAGTTTGGCTTTTTCTTTTGCTGAGTGGTTTTGGAGGGTATGAGGCAATAGCATCTCACTAGCAGAAGTCACTGAAGATGTTCCACTTTCTAGTTTATGAATACTCTGTAGCTTTGTGGTCTCCACACTGTCACTTGAAACATCAACAGTCAGCGTCTTCACATTGCTGGTAGGAGGTGAATTATTTTGGTATTTGTGTTTTGAGTTAGGTTCTATGGTATCAATCCCTTCTAGAGACATAAAGCTCATTGTTTTATGTCTCGAATAGAACTTCCAGCTGTTATCGTTTGAAAGAGTCCCTTTTGGATAAAAGTTGAACATGCGTAAAGATTTTTTTGCCATCTCTGGCATCAGATTCAGTTGTATTTCAAATGCTTTTGACTCTAAATGATTAGTAAGCTTATTTTTTTCTTTGGGAGTAAACTGTTCTAAAAGGGGTTTGTGCTGCATTTTGGGATATTTTGCTGTTGATGTTGTATGTGAACCCTCTGGAAAAGGTACTAACTTCAAGTCATCAGGCTTGTAGGCTTGTATGTTATCCAGTTTATCAGAAGAAACTTTGTCTTGGAGCATATTTTTAACATGGGATTCAGAGATATCTTTGGTTGCTTCACAAATAGGAAGTAAATGTTCTGCATTTGTACTGTCTGCAACTATTTTGACTTCATTACTTTTAACTTGAGGTGGTATGGGCACAGTTCCTGGGAAAGCATTTTGTTGCTGAACATTTTGTGTGGTCATATCCCACAGTGGTTCACTCTGATCCCTTTGCTTGGGTAACTTTGGCTCTTCAAGCATAGATGGACACTCTGTGGGGGTCAGAATGCATTTGGGAATCATTTCTTCTTGCTCGATGATATGCAAGTCTGGTTTTTTAATGACCCTTGAGACATCGTTCCCTAAGACAACCCATCCTTTTGTTTGCGACTTTAAGTATTTTTTATTCATTTCACTTCTGAGGTTTGCTTCTGATTTGACATTAGGAAGTTTCTGCATTTGTTGTTTAGCTGCTACAAAGGGCTGGGGATCTTGTGGAGCTGTGCTTGTAAAATTCCGCTTCCCTTTTACAATTGTTAAACTGTCTCTCTTAAAAATGTCACGAGTGTTTGGTGATTTTTCCTGGAATTTAGAAAGGCAGATTCCCTTTTCTCTTTCTAGGTTTGTCTTAGAGTCAGGGTGAGGTGAACTCATCATGGAAATAGAAATGCTTCTGATAAATACTCCTGAGATATCTTTACTCCACAAAACTATGTTCTTTAACTTAACATCAGACTCTAATTTCTTTCTATTGCTTGGTGTACCACGCCCTGTGATATTAAGCATCTGTGGAATTGGGTGTTTCTGGATTTTCATGGTTAAATATTTGGTGCTCAATTCTCTTTCCAGATCTGTTATTGTTAATCTGCCTTTTTGGTCTTTACGTTTGGAAGAAAGAGGAACATAGGAATAAAAAGAATCCAGGATATTTCTTTGAAACAATTTTTGTAGTTGAGTGTTTTGTTTTGCGTTAGATGCCTCTAGTTCATTTTTCTGTTTTTGCACGATTAGGCGGCTCTTCTCCCCATGAGTGATGACCTGCGTCTTCACTTGAGATTCTTCTGCCTTTAGAGATGGAAGGTGCAGGTGTGCACTATGGCTTGTGTCCATTCTTACTTTCTCCTTCTCCAGATTGGCAGTCCCGCCCTTATGCAACTCCGTTTTATCTTCTTCCAGATGTAAAGCTCTGTTTGTGCCTATTTTTAATTTCCCTTCTTTCTGATTCACAGCACTACCATGGTCCACTTCTGATTGTTTCTGCTCTACATTTACATTGGTGTTTGTGTCTGTTTGATCTTTTTCTTTCAGATCCCCTGATTGAAGTGGAAAAGTCCAGGGAGGATATAGGGACTTGGGAAGCAATTCCAGAAAACATTCCTCTTGTTCTGAAATGAGCAATGCCTGCTCCTTTCCCCCTCTTGCAGTGTCAATCTCTGTCACATCTATATGTGTCCCTGGTAGTATCTGGAGTATCTGTAGGCTGGGCTGCGCTGTTGTTTTCTGGTCCACATCTGTTTCCGATGGTGTCTTCTCCCTTCCACATCGAAGTGGAAACTTAAGAGAAAGGAGAGTGTTCGGCCTGGTCTTGTGCCCATGTTCCAACTGTCGCATCACTTGCTTTTTCATGCCAATATCTTGTTCTTCTATATTTTGTGGGGCATTCCAATTGGTGACGATATCTATTTTTTTGAGTGATCCCTTTGTCTGTGGTGCTAACACCTTGGGAGAAAATCTTTTGCTGATTTTATCATTACTTTGTACATCTTCCCCTGGCTTATCAAATGTGCATGAACCTGCAAGTTCTGGAGATACTTTCAATGAAGTTTCTTGCTGGTGAGCATGTCTCTCTGAAATAGAAAATCCTTTTGAACTTGCAAGGGTGCCAAGAGTGATGTGTAGTTCCTTAGATATTTTCCTTAGCAGTGAAACTGAAACCTCGGGACTGATTTTATGGTTTAAGTTGTCCATTATTTCAGTTTCTTCCTCCCGACCACACATTTTAGTTGCATCCATTGTGGGATAGGAAAGAAACGCAGTAAAAGTTTCTGTTTTGTATTTTTCTGGCTGAGCCTTTTTCTTTGTAAAGAGCCATTCCAGCCTTTTTCCGCTTCTTCTGGTACCAAACCCTGTGAAATAAACGTCCTGATCCTGTGAATTTAAAACTAACTGACTCAAATATTCTCTTGACCTGACTGGTGAAGGTTCCTTCCTTTGCTGAACGCCGATCTTGAAGTTTGAGGTCCACTGTGGCTCTGCCTCTGGGTGAGGCACGTACTGTCCTGCTTGCTTAACAATGTTTTTGTCATCGCCTTCAACTGAGTCTCTCTTTGTTATTTTCTGGATATTTGAGGGTACCCGGAGATTTCGCTGTGGACCAGACGGTCCTTCGATTCCTGGTGTGTCTTTGTCTATTTTGTTCCCTGAATCCACATAAAGAGGAGGCACCGATGGTACAGAAAGAAAAGTCCGTGGCAGAATCACACATGCTTTGTCTTTATCTTTGTGTACTTTTTTCTCCAGTTTGTTAATATTCAACACTAATTCCTTTGCATTAAGGATATGTGAAATTGGTGAACTCCTTGACTCTTGGCCGCGTATCCTGACCCTCATCTCTATTGTATTCACTTCATGCCTGTTTTCTTTCTGTGACCTATATGCTTTTCCTTTTCTTACATCACCACTCCTTGCCTCTGCAGCTGCTGTTTTCTCTGTATCTGGTAACACTGAAGGCATTAGTGGAAGTAAACAGGATGTCTTACCTCCAAGCCTTTCTTCATCCGCTTGCGTAGCTCTCTCCAGTTTAAGGTTAGGTGGTAAAAGTTTGGAAGCATACTTCTTTCTTTGAATCATACCTGGTGGTTTATCTTGACCTTCATCTTCCTTTTGTCCTTGCCCTCTGATGTTCACATGTAGTTCTGTTCTGTGGAGCATACAGGAACGAGGAGACTTCTTTGACTTCAAAGTTATGTCTGTGCCTCTCGTATCTATTTCCCTTTCTTCTTTTTGAGGGATATGTTGCTTTTCATTTTTAACATCTTTCGAGTTATCATCAACAATTGATTCTCTACGTACAGTCTCCCCCATGTGTGATATTCTCTGCAGAATAGAGCTTTTAAGTCTGAGAATTTCATTGTCTAAGTGTGTTTCTTTATCCAATTCCAGTTGAGACAGAGTTGGCCATGAAGTAGATTTGGTCAGAACCACACCTGGTTCACCTTCACATTCCTGTATTTTCTCTTCCTGATGTTTGGGGAATATTATGATGTTTACTATTTGCACTTCATCCTCTTCCTTGTTCTGTGACACGTGTTTTCCTTTTTGTAGATGGATTAAAACATCACCAGCAACTGGCCTTATGTCTATGCCTCCCTCAGTATCTGGTGATTCCTGAAGCTTTACTAGGGGAAAAGAGGGTCTTATTAATATCGGTTTGCTTTCCTCTTGAAACTCAGTCCTCATGTTAAAGTGAAGTGGGGAGGATCTAGAAGGACTCTTAGACCACATGACACGTGGCCCACTTTTAACTTTCTGAACCTTTTCCTCCTCTTGTTCTCTAGTTTTCCACTGAAGATCACTTAAACTGTGTGTATGTAAGACAGGTGATTTCTTTGCCTTCAAATACATTTTGTTGGGATCCACTACACTGGTGGTATCTGCTACTTCTCCTCTGTCCTTCTCTTCTTTCTGTAGCAAGTGTACTTTTAATTGTTTTACATCATTTGAAAGTTCTTCATGGATTGTTTCTGGACATGCTATTCTCCCTGCATCTGATGATTCCTGGAACCATGACTGTGGGAGAGACACATTTTTTTCTGAAGCTGATGATACAGGAATCTTCAGTTGTGAAGGAGAGAATCCATGGTGAGAGGCAGAAGGCATGAACGGATGAGTTTTTGTCAGAATCACATGAGAACGTCCTGTCCTTTCCTGCTTCTGTCCTGCTTTCTCTTTCATGCCCCACTGTGGCTCCTTTCTCTTGCTCGGAGGACTGTGCTCAGTGATGCTGAACACTTGTGCACGTGCTGATGTCTTTGCCTCGAAGATGGCATCATTGGGGTGTATTACACCATGCATGGATGCTGTTTGTACTCTGCATTCTTTCTGTGGGAGAGGATGTTTCCCCTCCTTTACAAGGCTCTCTATTGGCTTTGTAGGTGCTGTTTGCCCTGAAGGCAATGATGCCTGGAGCTCAAGATGTGGCTTACAGCTTCTTCTTATTCCTGGTTCGCCTTCTTCTTTTATTGAGTCTAACTCAAGGAAAGTTGAAGAAGTGACAAAAGGACAAGTTTTGCTCAGAAGCACGACTATTTCCACCTCACCTTCCTGTGCCTTTTCCTCTTGTTGACTGATGTTCACTTGCAGTTCCTTTGCTTTTAGCATACGGGAAATGGGTGATTTCTCCGCCTTCATAATGATGTACTTGGGATGCATTACAGTTTTCTCAGAAGTATTTGCCTTATCCTTTTGTATCTGGGCCGCGTATTTTGTTCTTTGTGAATCACCTGCAATATAATTCAAAGATGACGTTGTATATTTTAATTTCTCTGTATCTGATGATTCTGTGTCCCATGACGGTGGAGGAAAGGCTCTTGTTACTCCTTGTTTCTCTTTTGTGCCTTCTGTTCCTTTATCTAATTCACGGTGAGGTAGAGATGCTGTTGTCAGAACCTCTTCTAGTTCACTCTTTCTTTCCTTTACTTGTCTCAGTTTTTCTTTTATGTTTGTTGGTACTTCTCCAGTTTTTGAGCCACCACTGCCAGGAATACTGAGTGTATGTGGAAGTGTTAATTGCTCTGCCTCAAAAATTGTGCCTTCAGGTTGCCTTACAGGATCCATACTTACCGTCTTTTCTCCATCTGCTTCTTCCTGTAGCTTGTATACTTGTAATGTTTTTACATCATTTGAGCTATCCTCCCCAAATGACCTTGTGTGAGCTGTTTTCCCTACATCAAATGATTTCCGGTGCCTTAACTGCGAAGTAGCAGATTTTATTATTCCTTGTAATTCTTCCTCTCCTTCTATTCTTGTGTTCAATTTATAACGAGTTAGAGAGGACTCGGAAGGCAGATATAGGAAAAGAACTGCTTCCTTCTCACTCTTGTGCCCATCCGTTTTCCAATGCTCTATGCCTACTCCATCTGCTTGCTGTTGCTCTTCCACTTCGTGATGTATTTTCCCTTGCTGTTTGTCTCCTCTATCAGCTCTTCCCTGTCCTGCTCCTTTTCCATCTTCTTTCCCTTGCTCCTCACCTTCTCTGTCTTCTTTCCCTTGCTCCTGAGCATCTTGATCCATTTGCTTTGGCTCTTTAGGATTCAATGGTAGGTCCTGTGAAAGGGCCTTCTTTCCTTTTAGACCTTTGTCTTCTGGATGCCTTATGTCTTTCTTAGCTGATATTCTGACTTCACTCTCTTCTTTCTGTTGCGTATCATCTTTTGCTTTTTGTACTTCAGTTGTGAGATTATTCTCATTGGCCACTCCATCTGCTTTTTTCCCTGCCTCTGTTGATTTTTGGTGTGATAGTTCTGGAAGATAGTTTCTCGTTACTTCAGTTACATACTCTGCTTTTTCTATTCTTGTATCCAATTGCAAATGAGAAGAAGGGATAGAAGTGCTGGCATTCATCAGAAGCACACTTGATTCACCTTTAATATTTTCTATCTTTTTCTCTTGCTCTTTGATATCCAACTGAATTCCCTGTGAAATTGATAATTTCCTTTTCTTCAAAGGTAAATTTTTTTCCATTTTTAGCCTCTCCTGTTCTTTTTCCAATATATGTTCTAGGGTCTTTTTTACACTGTTTGAGATATTATCAGAAATATACTTTTCATATGCTATTTTCTCTATATCTGATGACTCTTGGAGATTTGGCTGTGAAAAAGAGGATCTCATTTTCATTCCCATGGCTTCCTCTCCTTTTATTGCGTCCATTTTAGAGTGAGGTAGAACAGAAATGGAAGCAAAAGGTTTGCTCCAAATCTCAACTTGTTTATTTTCCTGAATCTCTTCCCCTTTCTCTTTGATGTTTAATTCTTGGAACACTGAAGCCTGCTTCACCTCCAGAGCTATTCTTTTGGAGTGCATAATTTTTTCCAAAGCCTTTTCCACTCTGTCTTTGTCGTTCTGCGGTATATGTTTTGCTTTTCCGATACTGCTTCGAATATCACCAACTGGCTGCTCACATTTTTCCACTGTGTCTGATAATTCCTGGAATGTGGAGGATGGAAGACAGAATCTTGTTATTTCTCTTATGTATACCTCTTTTATTCTAGGATTCCATTGCAAGTGAGGTGAAGAAAGAATAGAAGCACAGAGTTTATTCTGAACTATGTCTAGATTACTTTTATCTTCCCACATCATTTTCTCTAGTTTTTTACTGCTCCGCTGTGGTTCTTTTCCATGCAGTAAGTGTTTAAAAGGTGATTTCTTTCCTTTCAAAGTGATACATATGAGGCCCATTATATCTTTCACATCTACTATATTTTCTCTATCTTCCTTATTTTTCTGTGGCAAACATTTCAATTTTATTACATTACTTAAACTCTCTCTATTAATTGACTCTGCAAATGATACTCTTCTGATGTTCGATGATGCCTGGAGCTTTAGTGGTGGAAGGCAGTCCTTTGGAATTCCTGACATCTCTTTACCTGCTTTTGTTCTTGAATTTGAATTACTATGTGATAGAGATGGTAAAGAAGTACACAAGTTTGTCAGTTTCATACCTGATTTACCTTTACCTTCTTGCATCTTGCCCTCTTGTTTCATAACATCCAACAGCAAAGGAAATTCCTTTATACTGAGTGTATGTAACAGTGATGATTTACTTGGCTTCAAAATGATATTAGGGCTTTTTATTCTTTTCATATCCATTGCTTTGACTCTATCTTTCTTCTCTCCCTGTGATCTATGTTGTTTTGTCCTTTTTACATTATTTGAGACCACCCCATCAGTTGTCTCTTTATTCAATTTGAAGTGAGGTAAAGAAAGAATGGACTCATATATTTTTGCTGCAACCAAATCTAGTTCACTCATTCTATGTTTCACATTGATCATTTTCTCTGTCACGTTCCACTGCATTTCTAGTCTGTCACTTGGGGCACCACAGTCACTGGTATTGAGTATATGTGAAAATACCGATTTCTTCAATTTTGGAGGTCTTCTTTTGTGGTATATCACACCTTTCCTAATAACTTGTTTTATGCTATCCTTCTGTCCCTTACTTTCTGGCAAAATAGGCATGGATACAGAAAGAGGATGTAATATTACAGGCAGACATACTTCTTTTTGCACCTTTTGATTTGCCTTATGTGATTCTATTTTCTTCCCAAATCTCAACTTGGGTGAGCTGTTATTTGATATTAAATCAAAGACCTGTACCCCCTCTGATGATTTCATTCCTTTTGGAAATAAGAGACTTGGATATTTCATAGTTTTATGGTATGATCCTAAAGGCAGCATTGTATCTTGATTATTCATCTGCCTTGGAGTAACGAAGGGCACAATCCCTTCTAGTCCATCCTTAGTTTCGGTACTTATTTGATCTTCAGAAAACAAGTCTAGTCCTGGAGTCCGGCTTGATACATTACCTCCTTCTGATATTGCTTCCTTTTCCTGAGGCATTAAATGTTGCAGGACATAGGGATGCTTTTGAGGGTAAGATATATGCTCCCAAAAGTTCTCATGGGAAATTGGTGGGCACTGCCATTTTTGGCCTGTTTTGAGTAAGGCTTGTCCTTTTTTACTGTTTTGAGTATATCCAACTATAACATCCATTTGTTTTACTGCTTCTCTAGCCTGTGAAGTTAAATGGTCATAATGCAGAATATTCATAGCATCTAATTTCTCTTCTTGCATTGAGGCATTGAATCGATGTAGATCTGTTTTGGAGTGAGGTGCAGACTTTGGAAGAGCCTCATATGTACATTTTTCTTCCTGTTCTGACTGTCCTGTAAAAAGCAAGCCAATTTCTTTTGTATTTGAAATGTGGCACCCTGAACTATCTGCTTTCTTTACCTTTGATGACTTAATCTCATGTATGTCCATTAGAGAGTGAGAAACAGATGCTGGAAAAGCCTTGTGTGTACTTTCTTGTGGATGTTCTTTTCTTCCTTTAATATTCAAATGTATTCCCTCTGAACATGGAGGTTGATCCACCGGAATGCCTACTTTGTGTGATGCCTTCTCTATCATTGGGCTTAAAACTTTTGAACTCATTATTTCTTCTGCTGAGCCTTCTTTCTTGGGATTTTCAATACGAAGTTGATGCAACGTGCAAGGGAAAATGGATTCCAGAATAGTCTCTTTATTCTGATAACAGTTACTTAGTTGCTTTGCCTTCAATTTTTTTGAAAAGTCCATTTTCTGTCTATTTGATTTTAATGTAATGTTAGTTAATTTTGATTGCTCTCTTTCCCAAGGATTTTCATTGAAACTTTCAGAGATGCTAACATTTTCTTTCCTTGTTTTCTCTGTCTGTTTTAAGTGAAGAGGGTCCTTATTGGGAAAAGATACAGAATCCAGAATACTTTCAGGAACATAATCTGGATTCACCTGTCCTTCCTGCACCGTAGGCACTTCGTGCTGATCCTCTGGATTTGTACAAAAAAAATTCTGTCCTTTAGAACCTACTAAGATATCCGTTTCCATTAATCCTTCTCTTCCCAATACATGTGGAATATTTTTTCTGTTAATGTACACATCTTCTTCCTCAGCTATCTTTCCTGTGTTTTCCAAATGAAGAGGTTCCATAATGGGGCAGGCCATCAACTCCAGGTTTGTCATAGAAATATCTTCTTGTTTCAGCAATTCTTGCTCCTGGCAAATCTGTTGAGAAGTATCCAACTCTGTAAAAAGTATATTCTGTCCTTTTGAGTTTGGCGGAATATCTAGTCCCTTTGATCCTTCGCTATCCCATGGAACTGGAACTGAAACTGAATGTTTGGCCATGCCTATATCTTTTTCCTTTGCTCTTTGTGCAACGGGAAATTCAAGTTCTCCATCTTTTCTAATTCTTGGGGCGTCAAAACTACTGTAATGAATATGTTGTGAACTAATTCTTAACGGTTCAATACAGTATTGGGATGTGTCTTCTAAAATGCTTTGGTGCTTTTGTTCCTTTTCTCTAATATCTTGTTCCTGTTTGCTAAGAATGCCGGACATGTCAGTACACCCTGACAATGACCTTTGCATTTCTTTTAGTGGTTTCTCCAGCTTTAACTGTGGAAGAATGCATGCCCTGTCTTTTGGCTTGTTTTTCTCCATTTTTACTTCTGTAAGCTTTTTAATGCTAGACACAAAGTATCCAGAGTCATAAACAGCCTTTAGAACTCGATGTACTGCATTTTTATTCAGCCGGAATGCCTTCTGCTGCTGGATGTTACCTCTGGTTTCCTTTTGATTGCCTGCAGTACCATATTCAAGCAGCTGGGAAACTGGTATTTTCTTTGCCTTCAATTTTACCTGTTTGGTATGCAGAGTACTTTCCACATTTGCTGTCTTTGCCTTATCTTTATGTCTTATGATTGTAGGACAAATAGATGCGTAGGGATTAGGTGAACTCCAGGTAGTGCCTGAGACACACGGCTCTTGCTGTTTCTTTTGCAGGGCAAGTGTCTTGGGATCTGCTCTTGTTTTCCAGTCTTCAGTTTTAAATTCTTTCTTGCTTTCATTTTGAAGTAGATGTATCTTAGGGAAAACAACGGACTCTGGGTTAAACTCTTCTGCAACATTTATCTTTGCTTCTTGATCCGTTAAATCAACTTCTGTTTTCTGGGGAGTGATGTTCTTAGAACACACTGTACTGACTAAGGGTGCTTCTGTTTTGAAAGGACCAGGGTCCCTCATTTGGTCTGTTCCAAACTCAGATGGCTGGATGTACTGTGGAGCTGTTCGAAAACAAACCTGTTGTCCATACCCTTCTTTCTCCCTAACTTTTGCTTTGTTTAGGGCATTTCTTGTTTCAGAAGATTGTTCATCTATACCCCAGGTACCAGCTGATTGCTCCATTTTTATGTGTAGTAGACTAGGTATAGGAACACGTGTAGATTTTAGCTTTATTGCAGCTTCATTTCTCTCTACTTCTGTCTTCTGGGCTTTCAACTTCTGTTTCTCTTCCTTATGAATGGTTAGAACAGCATGACCTGCAGTATCAAATGATTGTGGAACTGCTGACTGCTTTGCCTGCAAAGGTCTACCTTCAGGACTTGACCTGTCAGCTGTTTGAAGGCTGTCATTCTGTCTTTTCATTTCTTCTGAAGCAGGCAAATGCCTGCCAACAGAACCTGGGACAATTCCTGCCAGATTACAGAATGCTTTTTCTTTTAAAACAGAATAGCCAATGTTCTCTTTACCATATTTATTTGATATGGCATCATCTGTTGGCTCACTCAATTCTGCACAGTTATCTGATTTCTCCTTCCTTGGGAGCCCAACTTTGAGACTTCCTTTTCCATTTTTGTTTTTTTCCATTTTTACATTTTTTTCTACATTCCCTTTGTAAATCTGACTTTTTGAGAAAAAAATTTCTCCCAAAAGCACATCTTCTGATTTGCCAGGATGAGGATCCTTTGTAAGATATGTATTTGCCATGAAGTTTTCTGCGTAGAATGGACCCATTTCTGTAAGATGTTCTTGCTTCTCTTCCCCACTTTCTCTATCATGTAGTTTTGCTCCCTTTAACAAGTTGGAAGTTCCTCTCTTGTCAATGGAATCAGAATACCTTGTTATCACTTCAGCTGGTGACTCTATTTGTGTTGGGTGTGTATGACTTAACCCTGATATTCTCATGTCTATCTCTGTTTGGAATCTGCTTGGCTTTTTAATGTTAGTGGTATCTGGAGTGAAGAATATGGTATTTGGAAATGCATCAGCCACATTTCCACCTTGCCACGTTGCTTTCAGTTTGGTTTTTAAATTGGATTCCAGCTTCTTCCTATATTTTGCAGTAAACTGTCTATTGATTTTATGTATCTGTGAAATTGGTGGCTTCTTTTTCTTCAGAGTTAAACATTTGTGATTCAATATAATTTTCCTTTCTGATAACTGTACTGTGTTTATCTGGTTTTTAGAGTCAGATAAAACATGCATGAAGAAATCTAAAGAACCCAAGAAAGTTGCAGCTAAGTTTTCCTGTACTTTTTCCTTTTCCTCTGTAATATGACCATGATTTTCTTGGAGTGTTCTGTTGGATAGAGTTTTTAAATAGGATTTAAGTTTCTTCCTATGTTTTGTGGCAGATTGCTTATTGATTTTATGTATCTGTGAAACTAATGACTTCTTTTCCTTCATAGGTAAATATTTGGAATTCAATATAATTTCTTTTTCTGATAAGTGAACTGTGTTCATCTGGTTTTTAGGGTTAGATAAAACAGGCATGAGGAAATCTAAAGGACCCAAGAAAGTTTCAGCTACGTTTTCTTGTACCTCTTCCTTTTCACCTGCAATAAGACCATCCAGATTTTGTCGGCGTGTTCTGTTAGACAGAATGCCCCTCACTGCTGTATTGAATAAGAGTTTATCAATCACTGCTTTGGATGGTAGACTCTTCGCATATTCAGTGGCACTGAGTAATGCCTCTCCTATACTTGTGTACCATTGCCTCCCTTTCATCCTGTACTTAAAGTGGTGTTGCTTTTTCTTTCCATGGTTTTCTGTAGGATATCTTATGATCTTAAACAACCGTGAAATTGGTAGTTGCTTTGCCTTCAAAGTTACACGTTTGGGACTCATTATACTTTTCTTGCCCATAAACTCTAACGTATAGCTCCGGCTTTCATATTCAGATGACACAAGGCTGGAGAAATCTAAAGGTTTTAAGACTGTTCTTAAGTTTTTTTGATTCCATGCAGTTTTCTCAGAAATAGAACTATTCCATTTCCTTCTAGGATTTTCATCCAAAGGAGTATCAAATGGTATTGAACTAATCTCTGATTTCCCTGTTTTGGGAAATGAAGTCTTTGGACCTACCATACATTTTATTCCTTCTTGCATATGAGGACTTTGTTTCATCATGTACCTAGAAATAGGCTCTAAAATCGTTTCTCTAAAGTGTGTTTCTTGCTTTGTTTTTTGCAGTATATGAGACAAATTCCAAGAACTTCTGTCTTCTGGACTTTTCAGTTCAGATCCTAATTTGCAAGGGTCAGGATCTTTCATTTGATGTGCACTGAAACTGAGGTGTTGACTATGGCATGGAACTGAGTCTGACAACATTTTCTGAATATTTTTATCTCCCCTTTCATGTTGTACATTCATGTTGATTGCAACGTTAGATCCGCTTTCCATATCAGTCAAATTGGCCTTCTCTGCCTCCCCACCATGTGGCGATATCTGTAACTCCAGGACGGTTGCTCGTAGATCTCTATGAAACTCAACCTTTTCCCCTTTACCTGAATCGTGCTGTTCCCCCCTACATTTCCTGTCAGTTGGCACACCATGTTTTATTGCACCAATTAGAACTTCACCATTTAGTGAGTCCTCTGATTTTAGAGGAAGGTTTGCGTTTACTGTACATATTGTGCCATTTTGGGTCTGGAGGCATTTGTTTGTCTCCACCCCTTGTATTGGTTCTGCAGAATGAAGTTGTTGTGGGACATCTTGCTTGGTAACAAACAGAATTTTCCTACTTCCTTGGTTTTCTAATTTGTGAAAGTCGAGATCCTCCCTCTGACCTGAACGGAATATGAAATGTTGCACGTGTTGTGGAATTACTTTTAACAATGCCTCCTGTTTCCTTTCTTCTTGCTCTTCATCTTGAAGACAGGTTTCTTTAATGTTATCTGAAGTAATACTGTCTTCATTTGGAGATGTATCTTGCTTTACTCGAGTACAACCGAGTCTTTCTTCTCTAAGTGTGTCTTTTTCTGTCTCCACCTTGCCATACGTGTTAATGTCAGGTGTCATAGTCAGGAAAGCATATGTTTTATCTGCCCCCTTTTTGCCTTGATGCACTTCTTTCATTTTGGTTGTCAAGTTACAGCTCAGTTCTTTTCTGTGGTTTGGACCAGCACTAGCCTTGATATTGAGCATGTATGAAATTGATGGCTTCTTTGCCTTCATAATTCCACATTTGGGATTCACTAAAGTTTTCATGTCTGAAAATTGTTTTAAGTTTCTCTTCCTTTTAGGTGTAGATAAAGCAGACATGCAGGAATCAAAAATCACTGTTTCCTTCTTTTCACTCCCACCAGCCTGTTCCTTCTGATGGCTAGAATCAGATGAGATACCACCTTCTCTTGCATAAGATATGATTTCATCAACCTTTGCTTCCCCAGACTTTAGAGGTGAAAACCTAACATAACTCTCTACCTTTTCAAATTGAAATTGATCTAGTGTAGGACCTGAAGTAGACTCCAAAATAGTTTGTGTAAAATGTGTTTGTGGTTGTACCTGGATATTTGCATTTCCTGGTTGGTTCCGTCCGTCATCTGATTTGACAAGCTCATGATCCCTCTGATGTGCATTGAGTATGAAGCCATGGCTATTCTCTGGAGCCTGCAAAGCTTTGGGAGGTGGAATCTTAGGACCCACAAGGGCTATTATGTCATTTTTGGTTTTGTTGGCTTTTTGTACTTCTTCAGCTTCTAAAGGACCCATTTGGAGACTAGTCTTTAAAGTAGTTTGTTTAAAATCTGTTTGGTGCTGCAAACTTTTTCCATTAACACATTGCTCCAGTGTTAAATAATTCAGTGCTGGGTGTGATTCAAGATGGATTTCCTTCATTTGACAGGCATCAGACCCCAGGTGCTGGCTAAGCTGTGGCGCTGCTTCTAATGAAGCTTTTTGTTCCTCTTCCTCTCGGTCTTGAGATTTTTCCTCTCTGTCATGGAATACACTACTCTTAGCAAAGACATCAGTGTATGTCTTATCTGCTGGTTCTCCTTGCTTTAATTGAGACACAGAGAGACAGAAATCTCTCTGCAATCTGCTATGCATTGGAGAGCAAAGGGCATTTGGATATTCAGGCACCAATCCTTTAGCTTGGTTTATCTTTTTAAACTTAAAGTCTAACTCCGATTTCTTTCTGTGGCTTGTGACACTGACTGTCTCTGAGACTGATGGCTTCACATCCTTTGCATTTACGCATTTGGACTTCACTGTACTTGTCGTGAGTGCAAATGTTACCCTCTTTTTCATCGCTTTAGAAGAAGACAAAACAGGTGTGCAGCAATTGAAAGTCTCTGGCGAAGCTGCTGGTAAATCTTTTGGTATTTCTGTCTTTTTTCTTGCAAAACAGTAACCCATTTCTCTTGTATCACTTCCATTACTTGGAACATCACTTTCTCTTGTTTGGTTTAAAAAGTGTCCAATCAGTGATTTTCCTGATATTGGAGGAGGCATCTCTGAATCTGCAGTGCATTTGCAGTCTGTTTTTGTTGTTTGACTGCTCTTCACATTCTCAACATGAGATGATTGCATTATGGGAGAGACAACAGACTCCATAGTAGTTTCTGTGAATGGGATTGGCTGATGCATTTCTTTCTCTGTTTTAATCTCCTTCGCTAGATGTGCATCAAGTCCAAGGCTCCAGCTATCATGTAGGGCTACTTTTGGTAGAGTTTCTTTGATGCGTTTTACTTCATCTTGCAATTTAGCTTCTAGTGCGTTTTGGGATTCATTTCCCTTATTAATGAAAGCTGGACACTTTTCTTCCCTTCCAATTTGGGATTCCTCTTGGACTACCTTGATATAACTGTGATTCTCTGCATTTAATCCGCTGTGCATTCTAGTATTAGGCAAAATAGACAGGTGAGGGTTAATAACATTCAGAAGCACACCTGCCACAATTTTATCTTGCAGTATCTGTTTAATTATGATTTCAAAATTGCCTCCCATTTTTTTCCTGTGGTTTGGAGTACCGTATATATTGATGTAAGGCATCAGTGAGATTGCTGGCTTCTTTACTTTCATAATTACGTATTTGACACTGAGTACATTTTTTGTTTCTGATAATGTTTTTTTAATTTTCTGCCTTTTAAGATGTGATAAAGTAAGCAAGTGGATATCGAAACACCCCAGGGCAACTGCAGGTAAATCTCTTTTTATGTCTTCCTTTTCTTCTACAGTATGACCATCCATTGTCTTTCGGAGGTTTCCACCAAATGGAACACTATACTCTGTTGTTTCAACTGCAAGTTCACCAACTGCCAAGTTCTCTGGCATTGTAAGTGGATTCTTTGGATCTGCAGCACTCTTTCTGTCTGTAGGTCTATCTGTGCTTTGCTTCACCTTCTCAACTTGAAATGGATCCATCATGGGGCATGGACTAGTCTCCAAAATTGTTTGTGTAGAAAGAGTTTGTGGTTGTACCTCTTGCTCTTTGTTTGGGGCTTTACTACTTCCTGAACTGATCTGTTCCATTTCAAATTTGATGTATTTGGGCCTTTGCTTTAGATGCATGCTGAATCTGAAGTCTTGTGGCAGCTCTGAATTTGCTTCTTTCTCCTCTTCCTTTCTATCACATTGTTGTGACTTTTTAAAGGTAGAGCTCTTATCAATGTATTCTGCATTCTGTGTTTCCTTCTCATCTGGTAATTTCTCATGCTTTGACACTGAGTGACTGACCCTTATTCTTCTTAATGTGTCTGCCTTTGCTTTCAATCTGCTATCTATTTCTGTATCAGATAGTTCAGAAATGGTAGTGCAAGCGGCACTGTGAAATGCATCAGACATTTCTTTATCTTGATGCATGTTTGTTACGTTATTTCTAGCGTTGCATTCTAGTGCCTCACTTTCACTTAGGTCATCTGTAACATTAAGCATCAGTGGTTCATTTTCCTTCAGATTTACACTTTCTGTACTCACTTGAATTTTTACGGCTTTTAATTCTTCACTGCTTTTATGCATATTGCTTCCCAGGGAAATTAGCAAATGGACATTTGACAACTCCAGAACAAGTTGCAAAAAATCTTGTTGTTTCTGTGTATTTTCCCTTGGAAAGCACCTTTGCATTTTTGGTGTACTAGTTGGTAAATCCTCTCCATTTGAAAGTTGACGATGGGAATTCTCTGAACTTTGCAGGACCTCCTGTATTTTCATTCTATTGTTCGTTTCCATTTTGGGAGAGGAAATGAGTTTCTGCATAGGTTTTGATATAGCATCTTCTAAAGATGTCTTGTGCTTCAGAATATGAAGATCAAATGGTTTTCTACTATTTGGAGCATGCAATTCTGTAATAGCAATTTCCTTTGCTTGTGTAACTGGGTCTTTAAGAGATTCCTTACTCTTCCCATTTGTTTCTACTAGTAAACAAGGTGCTTTTAGTTGATCGGTGTTGACCATGAAGGATTTTTCTAGCTGAGGTAACATTTTTGGTGAAATATTTTTTAGTCCTTTATTTTCTTTGTCATACTCCTTTTCTTTTTTAGTAGCACCCAAGATTCTTGTCTTCTCAGCAGCACCTGTATAATTGATTTTCTCTGTAGCTGGTGACTTATTTTTCTTCTGCAGAAAATGTCCACATTTTATTAAACCTGGCATGAATTTCACTAGTTGTTTTCTGGAATAATTTTTAATATAAGGCAGAATAAGCTTGGAAACAGAAATAAGATGCAAAGCTACATCTGATATATCTTTCCTTTCATGTAATTCTTTCTTGTCAGTGTTATTCTTGCATCCTAACTCATTCCTATTTTTTAAAGTGTGACATGCTGTGATTTGAAATACTTGTGAAGTTGGTGGTTTTTTGGCTTTTAGAGATGGAATGTTAAGACTGAGTTTGTTTTTACTGTCTGGTGTTTTTCTTCTATTTTTCTGCCCTTTAATGGTAGATGAAAGAGGCACTGAGCTATATACAGAATCTTTGTTGAATTCTGATGAAACAATTTGTTGCTGGCCTTCTGGTTTTACAGTCCTTAGGTGTGGAATATCTTCAGCAACTAAATTTGGATTCAGAGTTAAAACTAGAAATCCAGCATTCTTAAAAATAATATCTTGCCTCTTAGTTGAATATTTAATCTTGTTTGAATTTATCAACCAAACAGAATGTTGGTCCTCACCGAAGTGTTCATCAGACCCCAGGCTCTTGACTGAATATTGTGCCTCAACAACTGATGGAACTTCAACAAAATGTTGGTTCCTCTCCAAATCTTGGGACTGAAATGAATCTTGTGCCCTGCTACAAAATGGCTTCGTCATCACATCTTGAGGCTGGGCAAAGCCGCTGGCCTTGATATCAGGCTGGCTGTTGATTAATTCTTGGTTATGATTTATACTAGTAAATTGGACTTCATAAAGACCTTGATTCTGAATAGTATTTTGTCCTGGAAAAGAATCCTGTGCTTGGACAGAAATAACCATTCCAACATAAGGTTGATTCTGATTCAAGGACTGTTGAGATCTTGAGCACTGATAAGTAGTTTTACTCTCTAACTTAGCTTTTGGTTTTGAAGGAATTTGATTTCTCACATTTTCTTCCAGAAGTCTAACTTGATCTCTAGAAAGAAATAAATGGGCAGGAGGGCAAGGTGCCACATCTAAGTCTTCATTTTCTACAGTGAATCTAGAAGCTGAAAAGCTAAGATCAGAAGAAAATTCTGAATTTTTGTTTTTGTTGGTTTTCATCATTGAAAATAATTTCTTGGAGGAAAATTGTATTGTTTCATATTCATGTTGTATTGTTTCATATTCATTGTATTGTTTCATATTCATTGGATGCTCTGTATGGCTTAGACACATTTTCTCTACTTCTGAATTAAACAATGACAAAGATGAGCTGATTCCATTTGAAGATGGCATATGACTTTCACTAGAGTGACTTACTTGATCTTCACTTTCACTAGTACCTGACCATATTATTTCATGTGATAATAAAATTCTATCTTCAAAGTCACATTCCTTTTCTTCAGATGTAAGTAATGAAGTAACTCTTTTTTCTGAAAAGGTGCCAACCCTGAAATATAAGAAAACAGTGTGCAAATGAATCCTAGGATATATTTCATATAAGAATTACCTTCCAGATTCAAGAAAATGCCACATAGTATATGCAAAGAGATTAGTATAGAGACAAATTGGAAAACAATTATCCACATTACAAAACAATTCATTACCTAGTTCTTTTTACTTAATAAACTAATCAACTGAAAAATTGCAGTAAATCAATTACATATATCAGAGAATATACCTCAGCATCTCTGAAAGTCTATTTTTGAAAGGAGTGGGTCAAAGTTGCTGGATTAAGATTATATTATTTCACAAGGAATACCTTTTCTGTTCTCTACATGAAAGTATTCACAAAAAGAAAACATTCTTATGGGAATGTAACAGAGGAACACCAATAGTATAAACTAGCTGTCTATAGATAAAGCCAGATTATCTTAACAGTTCTTTGGGATCAACAGAAAAGTCTACATTTTAGGGAAACATGTCTCAGTACAACGTTGGGCTGGAGTAATGATAATGGATGATGTGAACTTGCCAACATCCATGCACCTCAAATGATTAGTCTTAGTCTAAGTCCAACAGCATCAGCATCATCTGGTGTGATGGTTAATTTTATTTGTCAATTTGGCTGGGCAATGATGCCCAGATATAAGACCAAATACTATTCTGGATGTTTCTCTGAGGTGTTTTGGATGAGATTAACATTTACATCAGTGAACTATGAGAAACGCAGATTGTTTTTCCTAAGGTCGGTGGGCATGACCCAATTAGTTAAAGGCCTGGATAGAACAAAAGACTGACACCTCAACCCCCTGACATACTCCAACAAGAGGAAATTCTGCCAGCAGACAGCCTTTTGACTTAACCTGCAGGCTTTAGATTTGCCAGTCACCATAATTGCTTGAGACAATTCTTCAAAATAAATGTCTTACTCTCTCTATGTATGTATGTGTGTGTATATATATACACATATTCTATTGGTTCTGTTTCTCTGGAGAACCCTGACAAGACGCCTGGAAACTTATTTGAAGTGCATATTCTTTGGTCCCATCCAAGCCCTGTGGAATCTGAAGTTTTGGAAGTGGGGTCCAGAAATCTGAGCTTTAATAAGCTCTCCGGCTGATTCTGCTATACGATGAATTTCAATAGTCACTGTTTGATGGATCAGCAAGCCTAAAATCAAAAACTGAAATGCATATAAACTAGGTCAGATAATTCTAGTAGCTATTTGTTTGGGGAGCACAGATTATCTCATACTTACTGTAAGTGTGACTTTACTTTTAAATAACTCAATCAAAGTAGTGAAGGCAGTATATGAAATCCATCATGATCTACCCAACCGTGAAAATTATTTGTGCTGAATGATTACTTAGAGAACTGAGAAATAAAAATGAAATGCTAAGTCCCACAATTGACTGAATGGACCCCCACTTGGCCAAGGGGACCCCAAAGAAACCTTGAAAATTGAATTCCTGACCATGACAGGATGGGAGGTCGAACAGGACTTATTCTGCCGCCTTCCTCCCTCAATGTCATTAGGCTTTCTTTCCTAAGGGTAAACACAACAGCCCTTTGGAAAGCCTTGCTCCACCCTTGATATCAACCAATGATCTGATGCTGCCTCTCAGTTTCGCTTTCAACAAAACAACCAGCTAGCATTCCTTCCTGATAAGAGACCCCCAACCACAGAGTGGTTCTGGCCAGTCTAGGGAGGATGTGCAGTGGGGATTTTCATGTCCCCTGCTTCACCTTTTGATGTCAGAGGGCCAAAAACTCCACCCTCAGACAATGCCAAAGCTGCCATTTTTTGAACATGAGCTCCATGGAGAGAAATGAAGCTCAATTGCTATTGTGGACATTTCTCCTTTCATAAATATTCATGACTCTTCTTCCTCCTATGGACTGTGAGCATTATCCACCTCATTCAGCATGATTTCCTGTCTTATTCTTCGTGCCCTCCAATGGTCTGTTTCTGGCTTCTGACAGGAGGCTATGCTTCCCAGTCTGTCATAAAGGATACCCTGCAGGCTGCAATCCTTTATGAACACCACCGTTCTTTCCAAACGTATGAACACCATCATTCTTCAGCTGATACAATGAAATCTCATTAATCTGGATTTGGATAATTAAAATTTGGGGTATTTTAGGCCACATTAATGATTATGTTTTTTCACATATAACACAAAAATATTAGGTAAATATTTAAAATATGTTAGTTTTCAAGTTCTCTCAATTTTTAGAGCACTTATTAACCTCTAATATATAGGCTATTTTATGGGCTGAATTGTGTTTCTCTAAAATTCATATGTGGAAGTTCTAACCCCAGTACCTCAGAATGTGACCATATTTGTAGACGTGGCCTTTAAATAGATTATTAAAGTTAAATGAGATCATATGGGTGGGCCTTAATCCATATTTGGAGATAAGGCCATCAAAAGGTGATTAAGTTAACTGATGTGTTTATTTAGAGTTGGGCTCTAATCCAACATGAGTGGTGCCCTTGTAAGAAGAGGAAATTTGGACACAGAGACACCAGGGACATGTACATACAGAGAAAAGAGCATGTGATGCACATGTATATTTATTGCAGCACTATTTACAATGGCAAAGACTTGGAACCAATGGAAATGCCCATCAATGATAGACTGGGTAAAGAAAACGTGGCACATATACACCATGGAATACTATGCAGCCATAAAAAAATGAGTTCATGTCCTTTGCAGGGACATGGATGAAGCTGGAAGTCATCATTCTCAGCAAACTAACACAGGAACAGAAAACCAAACACTCCATGTTCTCACTCATAAGTGGGAGCTGAAAAATGAGAACACATGGACACAGGGAGGGGAACATCATACACTGGGTCCTGTTGGGAGGTGGGGGCGAGAGGAGGGAGAGCCTTAGGACAAATACCTAATGCATGAGGAGCTTAAAATCTAGATGATGGGTTGATAGGTACAGCAAACCGCCATGGCACGTGTGTACCTCTGTAACAGACCTGCACATTCTGCACATGAATCCCAGAACTTAAAGTAAAATAAAAAAAGAAGAGAAAAGAGCATGTGAGGACACAGCAAGAAAGTGGCCATCTGCAAGTCAAGGAGAGACACCTCAGGAGAAACCAAGCCTTTCAGCCTCCAGAACCATGAGAAAACACATTTCTTTTTTTTAATGCCACCTAATTTTTGGTACTTTGTTGATGGCAGCCCCAGCAATCTAATATAGGCTGTATACACATCTTCGTTATCTACCCATTACTTTTAGTGTGTGATCTTTGGTAGTAAGGTCTGTTCTTCAACGAAGACATGATGTCTACTCTCCCACATCTATTCTACCTCAGATTATTAGGCTCAGTAGAACATTGTAATCCCATTTCTAAGTGATTAGTTTAGGAATGGGCATGATCTAATCCTAACATAAGAAAACGCTGAAGCAGGTCGGGTGGGGTGGCTCACGCCTGTAATCCCAGGACTTTGGGAGGCCAAAGCAAGTGGATCACTTGAGGTCAGGAGTTTGAAACCAGCCTGGCCAACATGGTGAAACCCCAACTCTACTAAAAATACAAAACTTAGCCGGATGTGGTGGCGTGCACCTGTAGTCCCAGCTCAGGCAGTCCTGTAGTCCCAAGTCCGGAGGCAGAGGCTGAGGCAGGACAGTCACTTGAACCCAGGCGGTGGAGGTTGCAGTGAACTGAGGTTGTGCCATTGCACTCCAGCCTGGGCAACAGAACGAGACTCCATATCCAAAAAAAAAAAAAAATCCCTGCAGCAAACCAATTTGCAAAATCTAAAAAGCCAGTGAGGCAAACTCACTGAGACTATGCCTGGTCCGCACAGTTTTCTCTAGTTTCTCATATCACCTCCCGACATATAATTTATTTATTATGTTGTTGTTTATTGTCTGACCCTCTCTCACCCTCACACAATGTTTTGTTTACTGCTGAGTCTCAAAGACCTGCAGCAACACCTGATGCAGAGTAGGCAATCAGCAAGTATTTGCCAAATGGCTATCTCCACCTCCAGGCCTCTGATTACTAACAACAAACTGACCCAACTCTTTCCTCAGTTTCGATGAGGAGAAAAAAATCACTGGGGTCTGTTGGGGGGAAATAGGGGATGGACAGCGTGGGGAGGGGAGTTGGGGAAAGATAGCATGGGGAGAAGTGCTAGATGTGGGTGATGGGGAGGAAGGCAGCAGATCACACTGCCACGTGTGTGCCTATGCAACAATCTTGCATGTTCTTCACATGTACCCCAAAACCTAAAATGCAATAAAATTAAAGAAAAAAAAATCCCTTATGTACAGACCACTCACAGATGTGGCTGATTTTAGTGAAGACTTGGAGGCAGACGCAGGATAGAGTTGATTACAGCCATGCAAAGGGCTCCCATTTAAACATTAGGTATGTCTCCCCATTTGTGAAATGTCCTTTGGTTTCTCCCGACCAAGGAATTTTAACTGGTTTTTGAGATTAAAAAAAAAAAAAAACTCCCCAGTCTCCTAGGAAAAGAGGGACAGTTCTAGAGCCATGGTAACCAGTACCAGAACTGGTTGTCAATCAGCCAATGGCAATCCTGTAGTCACAGTAACAAATAAACACCAAGTCTGCTTTTAAACTGTTTATGATAACTCTCTTCAGGAAATGCACTTCTGAAACCAACCAGTCAGTGACAAGTTTAAGCTTCAAAAGTCAGGTAGTTGCTGGCAGACTCTCACTAAAGCATGCACCTATGGGTAAGGCCAACCCTAAAACAAACCATTTCCCCAAATCTGATAGAAGGCCAGCCATTTGCTTTGCTTGCTGAGACTATGCCTGGCCAGCTCGGCTCCCCGGATTTCAGATACTGAGTGGTGGTCTCATCCTTTATGCCACTCAGTCCTGAGCCTCACACCACTACACTGGCACCTCCCTCTGTTCCGCTCCCCTCTTCCCCTCAGCTACCCCTTCCTCCTTTGTCCATTTCATAAGCAAGATAAAATCCATCTCTAATGTAGTACACTTTAGCTATTCTGATGCTTAGGCTTCGGCCAATATAGCCTTCTATTTCAAAATAATGTATTTAGATGTTGCCCCACTATTTACAATAGCAAAGACATGGAACAGGCCGGGCGCGGTGGCTCAAGCCTGTAATCCCAGCACTTTGGGAGGCCGAGGCGGGTGGATCACGAGGTCAAGAGATCGAGACCATCCTGGTCAACATGGTGAAACCCTGTCTCTACTAAAAATACAAACATTAGCTGGGCATGGTGGTGC